CGCCTTTCATCTTTTTGGCCAGCATCCTCTGAGAGTCCTTGGTACATGTAGCCGCGTGCTTGCTACAGCATGCCTCCAGGCCAACAGCCAGAAGTGCCTTGGAAGCCCCAGGAGAGGGGCGCCTGGGTGGCGCAGTCATGAAGTGTCTGCCTTCGGCTCGGGTAATGATCCCAGGGTCCTGGGATCGAGCCCCGCATCGGGCTCCCCGCTCGGCGGGAAGCCTGCTTCTCCCTCTGCCACTCCCCCTGCTTGTGCTCTCTCTCAAACAGATAAATAAAATCTTAAAAAAAATGTCTTAAAAAAGCCCCAGAAGAGGGGCGCCTGGGTGGCTCAGTCATTAAGCGTCTGCCTTCGGCTCGGGTCATGATCCCAGGGTCCTGGGATCGAGTCCTGTGTCCAGGCTCCCTGCTCAGTGGGGAACCTGCTTCTCCTTCTGCCCACCCCCTGCTCGTGCTCTTACTCATTATCTCTTTCTCTCAAATAAATAAATAAAATCTTAAAAAAAAAAAAAAAAAGCCCCAGGAGAGTTCCTGGGCCACATTTTGTCCACACAAGGAATCCAAAATGATACCAAACATGGTATTACATTCATGGAAGTGAGAACCCCCCCTTTCTCTTTTTTATAATTATTAGTAATCTCTACGCCCAACATGGGGCTCAAACTCTTGGTGCCCCAGAACCCTTCTCTTTCTAATTATCAGTCAGCAACATTCACCATTTCCTGGGACTTTCCTACATACTTCCTGCAGTTCATGTCTTACTTCTCTGCCCTATTATCCCCCAATTACTGGTTTCCTCAGAGAGGGGAAGGTGTTCTCAGTTTCCAAAGCTTGCTTGTAGTGAGCGCTATGCTGGTAGATATTGAACAGCAATAACAACACAAAAGCTCTGACTTACAGCATGTACTGATCTCCAAGAGGTGAATGCTCCATCATGGCCGACTTCAGGCTACCAACATGATGTCCCTGACCGCAGAGCTGAGAAGAAATGCCAGAAGCACACCATTCCATAGCCTTTCTCTCTTTCTTTCTTTCTTCCTTTCTTTTTCTTTCTTTCTTTCTCTTTTCTTCCTTCCTTCCTTCCTTCCTTCCTTCCTTCCTTCCTTCCTTCCTTCCTTCCTTCTGTTCTTTCTTTCTTTTTCTTTCTTTCTCTCTCTCTATCTCTTTCTTTTTTTCTTTCTTAGATTTTATTATTTATTTGACAGGGAGAAAGCACAAGCAGGGGGAGAAGCAGGCAGAGGGAGAGGGACAAGCAGACTCCCCAGTGAGCAGGGAGCCTGACGTGAGACTCGATCCCAGGACCCCGGGATCATGACCTGAACCGAAGGCAGATGCTTAACTGACTGAGCCACCCAGTCATTCCTTATTTTATTTTTTAAAAGCAAATAATTTGTCCTTTAAAAAATTTTTTTTATGTAATCTCTACCCTCAATGTGGGGCTCAAACTCACAATTCCAAGATCAAGAGTCACATGCTCTACTGACTGAGCCAGCCAGGTGCTCCCACCTCATTATACTTCTAATAAATCCCTCTCTTTTTGTGGGAGCTGGCCAGGGTTGGTTTCTGTTGCTTACAATGAAGGTAATATTTACTCTGTGGCTTAGACAATTCTGGTCAGAGATCAAAGGAGGCTCCTCCCTATTTGCTAGTCCAGAAGTTAATTAGTTGGCTCCTTTTTTACTTGTTATCTTTTTTTTTTTTTAAGATTTTATTTATTTATTTGACACAGAGAGAGAGACAGCGAGAGAGGAAACACAAGCAGGGGCAGAAGGAGAGGGAGAAGCAGGCTTCCCTTGGAGCAGGGAGCCCGATGCGGGGTTCGATCCCAGGACCCTGGGATCACGAACTGAGCTGAAGGCAGACGCTTAACGACTGAGCCACCCAGGCATCCCTTTTGCTTGTTATCTTGAAGTTTCCGAACCACAAGAGATAAGGATCAGAAAAGGAAGTTTTTCAGAAGTCTCAATTTTCTGCCCTCAGTAATAAAGCAGTTAATAAATAGCAGACTATTAACAATCAAATTAGCTACACTGCTTCTTCAGCCCTCCTCTAGAAAGGTTTATTTTGTTCTTTTTACTTCAAAAGTCCAAACAGTAGACAACTTATCCTGCCTCTCTTATAGGGGTGGACAGAGGGAAGTTCTTCATGGGACACAACTTAAACACTGCTTCCCAGAAGTGGGGTGACTTAACTTCCTTTTGAAAATCCAAATGATTAGATAGAAACCATTTGCAATATAAATGATTTTCAATCACAACTTTATTTGAGACACCGAAAGGTTAATATGTTAATACCGAAAGGTATTAATATATACATTAAATATCAAGGAACAAGCTAGCAAAATATCTTAGGATTTGGAGAAAAATGTATGAACTTTGCAAAAACAATGCTTTTTTGATCCCTTGCTTTCTTTTAATCTGAGTGGATAATCCCTTTAGAAAGAAAAGGCCAAGCCATGTGGAACAATGCTTGTGGGACACTGGTGACAATTTTCCAAGCCCATCCCTTCAAAGATGAAGGAAGGACTGCATACGGCAAATGACCGAGACTCTTGGCTTTGCAATTACACGTTGGTTCCAATGGGCTGTGGGCATACCCGTGGTGCCTCTCAAATATTGAGCAGTTACCTTGCATCCCAGGGTTTACAATGATCTGAGGGGTGCACTCCCCACCCCCAGACACTTTCAAGTTTACCAGCCAAAGCTTCTGAACAGAAATCTAGAGGACCAACAAGAATGGGCAACTTTAACCTTAGATCCTAAGGTTCTGGTTGGGGAGGAATGGTGGGTCCCCTGTTCTCCCGGACCCACTGAGATGCTCCCCCGTAGCCTTGTGGCCAGCACAGACAACCTGGGGTGGGGAAACAAACTGTAACGTGAGACTGCTGGACTCCAGGGCCAGAGAGAGTCCCTAGACTACCGGCAGAGGTTCAGCCCAGGGAAATGGACATGGGAAACCACTTCTCACTTTCAGAATATGCTTGAAGAGGTTCAAGTTTTCCATCAGGTGAAACCCATTCCATCTATGGAAGGAAATGGGTAGGTGCAGAGAGATACCAGAGCAGTGTCTGTAACTGTTCTCTCTCCATCAGTGATCCAGGCCAAGGATCCAAGGATGTTCCATAAAAGGCTTCTTCCTTCACGTACCTGGGCCACATGGAATTTCTTTACGTGCTGACCTGGATCTCACCTGAACTCTAAAGCAGAACCTTCATTTGGGGATTGATGATTGCTCTCTTAGTAGGGTTAATTACTTAGACCATTCCTTGCTTTCCAAGGCCACCTTACCTGGGACTTGTCTGGGGGAGGGCGTGTCCCAATTTCTCTCAGATACAACTGGGGCTCTTAAGACCTCGGCATAAATCAGAGCCCTGGGTCCCTCATTCGTCTGGAAGGAAAGGGTGGTTTGGAGGGCATGTTGAGTTAGAAGTGCTTTTTTTTTTTTTTTTAAGATTTTATTTATTTATTTGAGAGAGAGAATGAGAGAGAGCAAGCACATGAGAGGGGGGAGGGTCAGAGGGAGAAGCAGACTCCCTGCCGAGCAGGGAGCCCGATGCGGGACTCGATCCCGGGACTCCAGGATCATGACCTGAGCCGAAGGCAGTCACTTAACCAACTGAGCCACCCAGGCGCCCGAGTTAGAAGTGCTTATGGGAGGGGCGCCTGGCTGGCTCAGTCGTTAGGCGTCTGCCTTCGGCTCAGGTCATGATCCCAGGATCCTGGGATCGAGCCCCGCATCGGGCTCCCTGCTCCGCGAGAAGCCTGCTTCTCCCTCTCCCACTCCCCCTGCTTGTGTTCCCTCTCTCGCTGTGTCTCTCTCTGTCAAATAAATAAATAAAATCTTAAAAAAAAAAAAAAAAAGAAGTGCTTATGGGAAATGTCTGGTTCTTGTGTTTATGAGAAAGGTCTAAGCTGGAGATAAAGATTTCAGATCACTACTGCATTAGAAGTGGAGTAGAACACGAGGATGAGCTGCTCAGGAAGAATGAGCTGCGTGAGAAGAGAGTAAAGGATGAAGCCCTGAGAGGACCAACAGGAAAAGGCCAGGCAGAGGTGCCTACAAAGGAAACTGGGCAACTGGAGAGGCTGTAGCAAAAGGAGGAGGGACGCTCCACCAAAACTATGAAGAAACTTCAGACAAGGAGGAAGGAGTCAACAGTGTCAAATGCAGTGGAGAAGTCTAGTAAAATGAGGTCTGAATTAGATTCAGCAACTGGGAAGCCACGGGGGGACCTTCGGACCAGCTCAGTCAGTGGCTTGGTGCGAACAGAAGCAGGGTGAAGCATCTGCCATGCTCGCGGGCACAGAGAACTCTGGGTACCAGTGAAGTATCTCTGCCTACGTTGACTGGCTAGGCTCACCACCTGTTTCTATTTATGTTTCTCTTAGCTAAAACACCCAAATACATGGCTAGTCTGGGGCAAGGCAATAGCTTGGGATCTATTTTAGTACCGTAAAAACTGCAAAAGTTTGCCTGGGTTCATACACAGTACTATACTATCTTACAATTTACCTTTAGGTTCTGAGTCGGCAAGCCGGTGAAGACTTTAATTTCACATACTATAAACGTGGCTTTCCAGGGCAATGTTAGTCCCCCATCACCAATTCCACTGACAGCAGCAGCTGGCTGGAGTAGCAGCCCCAGCCTTGCGCTCTCCATCTGGCCAGTCGTCTCCACCTCCCACCACCGTCCCTGATTTTTCTTATACTTGGCTAGCTTCGCTCATTTGTTCACTCATTTGTTGGGTCCCTTCTCTCTCCGCAAAGGTTTAACTGTCAAACAAAACATATACTGCATACATTTACACCACGCTTTCACGTTTATTTACAAAGCACCTTCCGCCATTGACCTCCGTAAGGAATGCTTAGGCTGGAAGGGCAGTGGCGAGGCGCGTGCGCCCCCTGCCGTGGCCCCGGAGCGCTGCAGCCTCGCGGGCGCGCTGCCCCTCCCCCCCGCCCCGCGGCCGGGAGCTCCGCGCAAAGCCTCCTGGGAAATGCGTGGCCTACAGCTCCCTGTCCCCACCGCGCTGCAGCCCCGAGGAAGAGGGCGCTTTCTGGTGACTCTGACTCTTGATGCTGCACGAGCCTGATTCGGCATTCACAAGAGGCTTTTGGGGGAACATCTCTCTTTCGCTGGATGCACGAACGGACTTTGCTGTCGCGGTTTACTGGACTTGTTCGTTGTGGCGAATCTGCCGTTGCGGCGCGGTGGCTAGGCGCGCAGGGCCCTGACGTGAGGCTCGCGGAATCTGCTGCGGGAGGAAGAACGCCAGGGTTTCTCGGGCAACTGCAGTCATGGCGGCCACGGCCCCCAGTGCGGGCGCCTCCGCGCCTGAGGCGGCGGCTTCCGCCGAGGCCCCGCTGCAGTACAGCCTTCTCCTGCAATACCTGGTGGGCGACAAGCGTCAGCCCCGGCTCCTGGAGCCCGGCAGCCTGGGCGGGATCCCGAGCCCGACCAAGAGTGAGGAACAGAAGATGGTCGAGAAGGTGATGGAAAGCTGTGCCTTCAAGGCAGCGCTGGCCTGCGTGGGAGGTGAGGCGCGACTCGGGGGGCCGTTGGGAGGCTGAGGGCTTGGACGGCCGCGGGGTCCTCTGCCCAGAAGACCACGCGCCTGGCAGGCGAGGAGCCTGTGGACCTCGATCTTGACCTCACCCCTGCCTCGACCCGTGAACTCGAGTAACCCTTCTCTAGGCCCTGAGGTTAGTTTTCGCCTCCGGAAATTGGATCAGAGAATCGGTACTGTACGGGTCGGGGCCTGGAGGTTGTTATAAAATGGTTGACTTCATTCATTCGTTGACTCGCTTTTAAATAAGCACTCTTTGAACAGATTGTTACAAGTAGCCATCACGTGCTCGGCAGTGGAGGGACGGGGTAAGAGACCAGAGCCTGGTTCTCGTGAAACTAACATTTTAATATATGTAGAAGCAACAGTGTTGGGAGGGAGCCTGGCAGGAGAGTGGAACATAGGGGAACAGCAAGTGCGAAGGTCTGCCAGGAACCGGCTTCAGGTTTGGAAAACAAAGGCCAGTGTGGCCAATGTGATCAGATGGCGGTGAACAAGGGGGAAAGAAGTCTGGAGCACCCCCCCCCCTTTAAACCTTTTGAAGGCTTAAATGTATGAATGTATGGTGTCCCTCCTGTAAAGAGGTTGGCCGCATTTGCAGATGAGTTGAAATCTCAATGAGAATGAAAGACAATCAAGAAACAAATATAGTGAGTGCAGATGTGAAGTATAGTAGAAAGGAAAGAGAGGTATTTTTTTTTTGGTTTGGGGAAGGCTACAAGAGGTGGGACTGCAGCTGTATCTTGAAGGATTGAGAGAATGGGGTAGAAAAGAGGATGGGAAATGCCCTTTCAAGTTGGGGGTGGAGTTGCGGATTTGGGCTTTTTGCCTTTAGGCATTAGGGCAGTAATTGATGCCCATGATGAACCAGCATGGAGTGTGGGAAAGGAAGAAGTCTGTGGATAGGGAGACGGTACAGGGATTTTGCTAAACCGAACCTCGGTGAGGCCTGGCCTGGGTCTTTGTTCATCATTGTGTCTGACCCTAATAAATCACTTACATATTTGATGAAATGATGAATAGGTCTTTGTAATGCTTCAGAGTGGAAGTGATAAAGGTCCTAGACTAGGATAATTGTGAACATAGGGTTGTGGCGCGGGGAAGCAAAGCAGCAGTCAGAAATGCCCTTGAGGTTTGGAGCTGGAGTGACTAGAAAGAAGGAGCCATAAGTAAGAAAGTCTGGAGGGGAGGTGTCCACGATTTCATTAAACATATATTGACCTTGAGGTGGTGAGAGGGCATCTATATGGAAATGTCCAGCAGGCTCAGGAAGTTGGGGACAGCAGTGTGTGGTTTGCCATTTGGTAGCTTTGTGACCTTAGGGAAGTTACTTAACCTCCCTGAGCCTCAGCTGCTTCAGCTACAGAATGGAGACGATAATAGTATCAACCTCACAGGACTATTATGAAGAATAAAAGAAGCTGTGACTATAACGCGTCAGAGTAATTGGCACATGGCACTCACTAAATGACAATTATGAATGTCACCATCGTCAAGGGAGTGATTTGCAAAGTTGATAGCTGAATATATGAGTATAGACAGAGAGCAGAAGGTTAAAGATTGAATCTTGAGGAATGTTAGAAAATAAAAGGAGGCGAGGCGCCTGGGTGGCTCAGTCGGTGAAGTAAGTGTCTGTCTTCTGCTGAGGTCATGATCCCAGGGTCCTGGGATCGAGCCCTACATCGGGCTCCCTGCTCAGCGGGAAGCCTGCTTCTCCCTCTCGTCCCCTGCTTGTACTCTCTATCGCTATCTTTGTCTCTCAAATAAATACATAAAATCTTAAAAAAAAGAAAAGAAAAGGAAGAAATCCAAAGGAAGACAGAGAAACTGTCAACAAGGTCTGGCTTGTGTGATGTGGAAACCAGCTAACTGGAGGGTCTGAGTGGCAAGGTGGAGTGGCGGGGGTAGGTAGGGAGTGTCCTCTTTGCTGGTGGCCATCCAAAATGTGTATTTGAGTATGATGACCTCATTACAGTAACCTAGAAAACATGCCAAAGAAATCTTCATTTCTGTGTTTGTTTTTAGGATTTGTCTTGGGAGGTGCGTTTGGGGTGTTCACTGCCGGCATTGATACCAATGTGGGCTTTGACCCTAAGGATCCTTACCGTACGCCGACAGCAAAGGAAGTTCTTAAAGACATGGGACAGAGAGGAATGTCCTACGCCAAAAATTTTGCCATTGTGGGCGCCATGTTTTCTTGCACTGAGTGTTTGGTAGAATCTGTAAGTGTCTCTGCCTTCTGAAAAAGCCCTGCCTGTACCACCTTATGACTTCCTTTTTTTTTTGAAGATTTTATTTATTTGACATAGAGATAGAGAACAAGCAGGGGAATGGCAGAGGGAGAGGAAGAAGGAGAAGAAGGCTCCCTGCTGAGCAGAGAGCCTGACTTGGGGCTTGATCCCAGGATCCCGGGATCATGACCTGAGCCGAAGGTAGTCGCTTAACTGACTGAGCCACCCAGCCCCCTCCCCCTCCATCTTCCGACTTCTAAAGAGAAATGTTGATTAGAAAGCAGATCAGAAATGTCTGATACTTGGTAGATTCAATTTTCATTAAGTAGTCCCTAATGTAGGGGCGCCTGGGTGGCTCCGTCATTAAACATCTGCCTTCGGCTCAGGTCATGATCCCGGGGTCGTGGGATCAAGCCCCGCATCGGGCTCCCTGCTCAGCGGGAGGCCTGCTTCTCCCTCTCCCACTCCCCCTGCTTTTGTTCCCTCTCTCTCTCTGTCTCTCTCTCTGTCAAATAAATAAATAAAATCTTAAAAAATAAAAATAGTTCCTAATTAAACTTTTTGGGCATTTATTGCATTTATTTAGGCTTGCATTATTTTTTCTCCTTGTAGGCTAGAAGTTGGTTAATGATTTTATTTTTTAAGTTTTTTAAAATTTTAGTTAGCATACAGTGTTATATTAGTTTCAGGTGTACAATATAGTGATTCCACACTTCCCTACAACACTTGGTGCTCATCACAAGTGCACTCCTTAATCCCCATCACCTATTTCACCCATCCCCCCACCTACCTCCCTTCTGGTCGCCATCAGTGTGTTCTCTATAGTTAAGAGTCTGTTTCTTGGTTTGCCCTTCTCTCTCTCTCTCTTTTCCCTTTGCCTGTTTGTTTTGTTTCTTATATTCCACATGAATGAAATAATATGGTATTTGTTTTTCTGTGACTGACTGACTTTGCTTAGCATAATACTCCCTGGCTCCATCCATGATGTTTCAAATGGCAAGATTTCATTCTTTTTTATGGCTGAGTAACATTCCATTGTGTGTATATATCTTTATCACATCTTTATCCATTCGTCAATAGATGGACACTTGGGCTGTTTTCATAATTTGGCTATTGTAGATAATGCTGCTATAAACATCAGGATGCATGCATCCCTTTGAATTGGTATTTTTGTATTCTTTGGGTAGATACCTAGCAGTGCGATTGCTGAATTGTATGGTAGAGTTCTTTTTTTTTTTAAGATTTTATTTTTGAGTAATCTCTACACCAAACATGGGGCTTGAACTCATAACCGTGAGCTCAAGAGAGACACATGCTCCAATGACTGAGCCAGCCAGGCACCCCAAGAGTTCTATTTTTAACTTTCTGAGGAACCTCCATACTGTTTTCCAGAGTGATTGCACTAGTTCACATTCCCACCAGCAGTGCAAGGCGTTCCCCTTTCTCCATGTCCTCGCCAACACCTGTTGTTTATTGTGTTTTTAGCCATTCTGACGGGTGTGAGGTGATATCTCATTTAGTTTTGATTTGCATTTCCCTGGTGATGAGATGTTGAGCATGTTTTCATGTGTCTGTTAGAAGTTGGTTAATGATTTTAACCGTGAGACTTGTTGGGGAACCAGAGAAGAGATTTTGATTACTCCTCAAATGGCGCACTTGGTTTCAGCGCTCTGGTACCACCTGCAGGAAGCATCTATGAACACATTCAAATTTTAGGAACTATATTTTGGAAAGTGAAAAGGATTAGGTTTCCTTTGGGGAGGGACTAAATTAGCCAGCTAGAAACCCTGTGTTTTTTTCCCTTAAACATCTTGTCTGGCTTGTTTCTTTGGCTCTGAACTGCGTTTCTCCACCCACAGCACCGGGGAAGGTCAGATGGGAGGAACAGCGTCATTAGTGGCTGCATCACGGGGGGAGCCATCGGTTTCAGAGGTTAGTAAACAGCTCCTGCTTGGTTTGCTTTGTGGCCTTGGACAACGTGCTGTAGTTGACATTCCCAAACACATGCGTGTTCCAGGGACAGCCCAAGGCATATGTGGACACTTGATACTCTTCTCTTCTGAAAAGTAAATCAGGTTTACTTTTGCATTAACATACTTTTGGAAACTTCTAGTATCTAGATCGGGGTTTTTCATCTTTGGCACCGTTGGCATTTTGAACCACATAAATCTTTGCTGGATGGAGAGTGGGGCTGTCCCGTGCATTGTAGGATGTTAGCAGTATCCCTGGCCCTCTACCCACTAGAAGCTAGTAGCATCCCTTAGTTGTAACAGCTGAAAGTGTCTCTCGACATTGCCACATTCCCCCAGGGGATGAAATCACCCATGGCTGAGAACCACAAAAAAATCAAATTTTACTTATTTTTTATTTTTTTTAAAATATTTTATTTAGTCATTTGACAGAGACAGACACAGCGAAAGAGGGAACACAAGCAGGGGGAGTGGGAGAGGGAGAAGCTGGCCTCCCGCTGAGCAGGGAGTCCGATGCGGGGCTCGATCCCAGGACCCGAGCCAAAGGCTGGGATCATGACCCGAGCCAAAGGCAGACCCTCAACTGACTGAGGCACCGAGGTGTTCCCCTTCTTTCCTTTATTAAAAGATTTATCTATTTTTTTTAAGATTGTATTTATTTATTGGAGAGGGAGGGAGAGAGTGAGAGCACAAGAATAGGGGAAGGGAGAAGCAGACTCCCTGCTGAGCAGGGAGCCTGATGCGGGGCTCAATCCCAGGACCCCGGGATCATGACATGAGCCGAAGGCAGACACTTAACGACTGAGCCACCAGGCGCCCCAGATCTAGATTTTAGAAAAAAGAACTGCCCTCACATTGAAAAGATGGGAAGAACTTCCTCCCAGTAAGGAATTCCTGAAGTGTATTGATCTGTAGGATAGGACAGAAGCACGACTAGGTCTTGTTCAGCCCTGGAGAGCCCATTGATCCAAATGGCAGGCGCTGCTGAACTTTCAGGTCCGTGCATTTCAAGTAGTTCAGACATCTTTCTTAATACCATACAATTGTCAGTTTTAATATTGTGTGTAAGTTATATAGTAATGTTTTTCTGCAGTTGAAGATTCTTAGTGTTCTACCGATTGAAAGCCAGACAGGGGTATTCTGGAAATGTGGGTTATCCGCAAGAAACAACAAAGAAAACAGTTCTCTGCACTTCTGTCAGTGTGCCCATCAGGAGTGCGGTGTGGGGGGTCAGTGACCTGACTCCTCCGAGGGGCCATTGCTGGGCCACTCGCCCTCTTCCGTGCCTGATTTGCCCAAAACAAAAAGCCTGTTTTCTCCTTCTCGGAGAAGCAGGATGATTTGCCATCATTAAAAGCTGCTTCTGCTCCTCAGACAGCCATTTGTGATTTATAGAGTAACTTTTCCTTTGGTCTTCCCATCGCTCAGCTCTGTCAGGGACGTTGAGAAGCTCAGCTCCCTCCAGGATTGCTTTGATCACCTTCCCAGGAATTTAGTTCATAAACAAGTCAGGGTAACAGGCCATATGCTTTCACTTGCTTCCAAGGGCTGATTCTCTTAACCAGCTTCCTGCCTGAGGGGCTGTTTCGTGAAACTGGAAATCATAATTTTTTGGAATGAGAAAAGTTGAACATACAGCTAGATAAAGCACACTGGGGTAGATTGTGGACTTCCTGGAAGTCTTAGAGATCCGACGGGTCGGTTGGACGACAGAGTGTCGACACCGGTTTCTTCGCCGCCGTGGCTAGGCAGACTTCTGAAGGCAGCCTGACTCGGTGTCTGTCACCCCAGGTAATGTCATTTCTGCTTGCTTTACAGCTGGCTTAAAGGCCGGGGTCATTGGGTGTGGAGGTTTTGCTGCTTTCTCTGCTGCCATTGATTATTACCTACGGTGAGAGTTCCTGCCTCCAGGGAAGGACGCTGCCAGCCCAGCATCAGAGCTGCTCTGTGGAGGCCAGTTTTGTCCCACTGCAGGGCCCTCGCTTCAGAGACCGCAGACCCTTGTTTTCCCTCCTACCGTTGGTGTCGTGAGGGAGCCACCTGGCTGCCGCCTGCCTCCACCTCTGAGGAGCCACATTCTCTGCTCCTGGGTTCCCGCCACGCTGTGTGGGGGATGTGCCATGCATGCCAGCCTCTCTCGGGCAGATCAGGAGTGTGGTGGCTGGTAGGAATGAAGTTCCCTAAGGGTTCCGTCCCGACCACGGCTGGCCCTCCGGTGGTTCTGTGCGGTGGGACCAGAGGTGACTGGACACGTACCAGGAAGCTCGTGTACTTCGGAACTCCACGCGGTCGTCCGTCCCACATGGCAGGGCAGAGTAAATGTAGACTGGCCAGCCCATCATGTCATTTTGTTTAGTGTTCTGCGATCTTTGTTTAAAAAGTTAGATTATAGTTTAAAAGGTTGGTTGGTTTTTCGGGGGGAGGAACAGTGACAGCGTGGTCCCATCCCCTCCTCCTCCACTTCCCATTACGAACAATAAAGGCTTTTCATACCATAAAATAAATGAATAAATAAAAGGTTGGTTTATTTTTATTTTCAAATTCCATGAGTCCCCAAAATGGTGCCAGGTGGCCCAGAGATTGGACATCCAGAGGGGGAGTGAGAAAGTTCCTGAGAAGTGTGGGAATGTTCGATTCTCAGGGTTTGCAGAATAGCGTTCTGAGATTGTTACTTCAGCCAGGGCCTGCCCTCCAAGACGCCCAGCCCAGCCGTGTCCTAGGATACACTGAAATTCCATGCTTAAGCCCTGGCCTCTTCTAAAAACCCTCCTGTGGGCTGGCTGATGGGAATGCCTGCGGTCCGGGCCACACTGGCTTTAGGCTCTGACCGCTGGACCAGGCCCAGCTCAAGGACACGCTGTGTGAAGAGTCCTGCTGTGGTCCTCCTGATGAGTCCATCAGCAGCGGCTGGTGAAGATCGGACGGCGTTGAGGGGCCGTTCTCCACTACCCTTGTTCTCTGGTACCAGGTTTTTTTGTTTGTGTTTTTTTTAAAGATTTTATTTATTTATTTGACAGCGAGAGAGGGAACACAAGCAGGGGGAGTGGGAGAGGGAGAAGCAGGCCTCCTGCTGAGCAGGGAGCCCGATGTGGGTCTCGATCCCAGGACCCTGGGATCATGACCTGAGCCGAAGGCAGACGCTTAACGACTGAGCCACCCAGGCGTCCCTGTTTGTTTTGACACATTAGTGTTTTTTGACCTAAATGGTCTTTTTCTGACAAAAGACTCAGCCTATTGTGTGCCCTGGAGCAAAAAAATAGGCTTTTATGGTTGGGATCTGCTGTGAGTGCTTCTTCACTCTGGTCCTTTGGTGAGGACACGAAGGGAATGAGCTCAGGCTTTCCCACGTGGGGAAATCATAGGCTTGGTGGGACCGTGTAATTCCAGCCACCTTCAGCCAGCGGTAATGTCTCCTGTTCTGCACACTGACTCCTTCACCTTGTTTTGCTTTCTCCCCTTTTTTCTGCTGTCTTCTAGCTTACGCCGCCCCCCCAACCAGAATTCAGACTTGGCTGAGACGTCCAGATGTCCAGGGGTGTGTGTGTATGTGAGTGAGGACGTCAAACTCAGCCAGTAACCCCTTCCTCTGGCCAGGCCTGCTGCTTCCTCGGCAGTGGACGGGAGCTGACGCGCAGGGCTTATGTCCTTGTGTGGTGGAGTCTTGTAATATCCAGCCCAGTCTCACAGGTCTGAGGCTTCACTGCTCCTCAGCTAGCTGGAGTATCCTCAGAGGCCTGGGGACAAAGTCAGGAGTGTTTCCTATACTGTCCTAGGTAAGTCACTTCTAAGCCCTTGGAGGGCAAGAGCAGACGCTCCTAGCTGGCAGCTGGCAAAGCGCCTGGATGCCTGGCGTCTTCCACCCGCCGGCCTAGCAGGGAGGGTCCCAGCAGGGAGGGTCCCGTGTGCTGAGCGAGGCCCGGAAATGCTGCCTCTCTGACTGCCTCGGAGCAGATGAGCCCTCGGGCTGTCAGTAGCCATCATTTCAATAAGCCAAGCGTCCACATGGACTATTCAGTCAAGAAAGGAGATGAATAGTTTCCTGTTTTAGATGGCTAAGGAGTCAGTATGAGCTCATAAACCAAACACCAATTTTCAGAGACATCTGTTCCTGATCTCCAGAATAAACATAGTGTCCAATGGCTTAGGCTGGTGGGAACCTCTATCAACCCCACTGGCTCTCCTAAAGGGAGGCCGGGCCCCCCAGGGGATCCAGCCTCTCCAACAATCAGACTGGGCCAAAAGGCTGCCCCAAAGACGCCCACTTCCGATGAAACTGTAGAGAAAAGTTTGCATAAAATAAGAAGCCTCCACTTGGATCGACACCTTTCTGCCATCTCTCGGAGGGATACTGATGGCCAGGTCTTTGGTGGGGCGTTTGTCCTTCATGAAAGGAATCTCGCTGGTGACCGACTTGGAGGCCCCTGTGAAGCACAGGCCGAAGGGAAGCTCAGGGGACGTTAACTAGGGGCATAGCTTTCTGGAAACTCACATCTGGAGACAGCTGGAAGAGTTAAATATTTAGATTGGTGGTCTTCCTTGGACTACTGAGTATACAAATGTCCACACCACAGGGCTGAGTTGTGTGCAAATGTTGGGGCTTTGCATTTTTTTTTATTAACATTTTCCTCTCACGTGGTTTACATCAATTTATAATAATCTACATAAGTTGAAACAGAACATAGACCAAAAAAAAAAAAAATACATCCTTACCAACTTATTAAAGTCAGATATTAATGAAGGTTCCCACCCTACTTGTATCAGCAAAAATTGGCAGCCCACAGCCGTTGCCAGCAGGGACAGGTGTCCCCGTGTCCCCATGGCCTGTCTGCTGGGCTCCTGTCAGCACAGCCTGCCCTGCTGGGCACAGTGGTCGGGGGTTCTGGGCTGCACGGTCCCTGACTTTTGGGACAACCCCATGGGCTCCTTCCTTGGTGCAGCTTAGTCCATGTCTGGTACCTGCCCCTCCCCACCCTGGGGGTAGAATTCATAAATATTCTGAGCCGTTTGCATTTCTCAGCCCCTCCAGCCTTCCTCCCTAAGCCAGCTTGGGGGCTGCGGTAGCTACCTGATGCCGAGAAGCAAACTTCTTGTTTCGGGGAGGTGGGAGACACCCATCTGGGGCTGTAACTAGCTCTAGCTGGGCCTCCAGTTCACTACCATCAATGGCTTTGGAAGCAAGAACCTTCCATGCCACCCACCAACTCCTGAGTGCTGAGCAGAGACTCCAGGGATGATCACAGGCTGGGATCTTTAGACTCAAGTGGTGGTCTTTCTCCACCTCCTGTCCCAGGCCGCAGGGCTCCTTGCTAAGCTGCCAGCAGACGGCTACGTGGTCAGAATCATTTCCCTCCTCTTAGGCATTTCTTTCCTCGGATGTGCACAGAATGTGCACCATTCTGCCCAAGACTGGGCCACAGGTGTAAACACCTTGGGAAAGCGCCCTGCCTCTCACGGAGCTGGTGCTACGGCTTTAGGGCCAGCAAACCCTTCTTTAGAACTTAGCCCCGAGCACAAGCTGAAGGAGCTGTTCTCTCCGACCCGGAGGGCCTAGAATCTGCTCTCTGCCACCTAGGAGAACCAGAAAGCCGTGTGCTCAAGCCCCCGCCACCCGGGAGCCCTTGCCCTCCCAGGCCAGCGGCTCAGATGGGAGGAAACTGCGCTTGGGGGATACTTCTCATTCCTCTCTGGCACGGAGAGGTGGGCCTCAGAGTTGGGACTAGAACCTGCTGATCTCTCCTCTGGAGCAGGGTGTCGACAAGGAATGTCCCCAGCAAAACCCAGTCCCAAGAGAGGCAGGTGTTCGTGACTCCCCAACGCCTGGAGTTTCCGAGAGTTCACCCTAGAGGCCGCGTCTGGAAGCTGTGGGCGGGGAGGCAGCACCATGGTGGCTGGCTACCAGGGCCCGCGCCGGTCTTTGCCAGGCCCCGGAGCACATGTGGCCGTGGCGGCCGTCCCGTGGCAGTGCGTGGCTGTGGAGGACTGTACAGTCTAAGGCGAAGGCACCGCAGGATCCGCGTGGTGCCGGGAAGGGCTGCCTCCTGGGCGGAGCCTGCCTGTTTCCCGACACCTGCTTCAGCCATCTCGCTGCCCTCCTAGAGACCGGACTCCCCTAGAAAAGCCACTATAACGCCTTGCTGCCGAGAGCCGCTTTCCCCCAACTTCGGGCCGCAGTGCTCCGTGGCGCTCCTCCGCATGTCCCACCTGTCTTGTTTGCTCAGTGGCCCGACTCGCCCACCTCCCCCCGTTCGTGACCCTCTGGCTCTCTTGATATCAGGTCACTTGTGAGTCTTGACACTCAAAGGAAACAGAACACCAGGGGAAAAGGAACTGAAAAGCAGAAGAAACAGTCAAAGATGCCTCACTAGGAGGCAGGAGATAGAACAGATAAACCCCAGAAATGGAGATTGTCAGGTGGAAATTCCGGGTCGGCTCTGTAGCTCTGCGCTAAGCTGAGGATTAGTGTGAGGCTGTCTCCCTGTCCAACGTGGGCACAGGCAGCAAGGCCAAGCAGGTGTGCTTCCACAGGCGGCGGATGGGGTGGGGGGGCCGGGGGGGGCAGCAGGCACAGCCTCGGACGGGCCACCGCCGCCGCCGCCCAGGGCCTCCTCAGCTTCCAGTGATAGAGCAAAAACCAAGGCTGCACATGCATGTGGGCAGGCCGGGAGGAGGGGAGGGTGGAGGCAAACCGAGGGGACGCTGCCCGGAGACTGCAGTCTGGGAGCAGGGCCAAGAGAGGATCAGCCGGCCACAGTGACAGAGCGCAAAATAAAAGCCCTTGGACTGGACCGGGTGGGGCGGGGGGGAGAAAGTGTCGGAGGGACCGAAAGAACAAAGCAGGCTGTCCGTATGCCCATACTGGGCCGGTCCCTGCCATTTCTGCAGGACAGACAGACAGGAACCCGTTCCCCAACGGCACGGGGCATGAGACACAACGCGAGGGACAGAATGCAGGGCCCAGGGCGCGGCGCTGAGGCTGGGGGCTGGGGCGGCTGCTTTGTACAGGGCGGCATGGGAGATGCACGGATTCCAGTTCGGGGAAATCGGTGTCCCTTGGAGGCTGGAGCACTGGGGTTGGGAGTTTTCGATGGGAGTCTTTCAAGTCTGTGTTGGGCCCCCGGCTGGAGAGGCCGGCCTGGCTCGCCGCCCGCCCCCAGCGGCTCCCGCCTTGGGCTACACGTCGGTGGAGAAGTACAGTGTGTTCCGCTTCAGTTCTGCGAAGGAAATGGGGGGGTGCTGCAGGTAGTAGAGGAGGACCTGGACCTGTGGGGGGGACAGGGGAGACTCAGGCTGGGCTCCTTGGCCTCCTGGCCCTCCTCCCATCTGCCCAGAAGAAGCGGTCGCCGGGGTCCCCTCTGTGCCACCCTGTCCCTGCCCCCAGGCCGTCTCAGGCCGCTGCCCCCCCCGCCCCCCGCCAGCCCGGGGGTGTGTGCCCATTGGCAGCAGTAGACGGCACCTCGGGGCAGAGGCTGGGGAGCCTGCGGCCACCTCCCCAACCTCAGTCGGAAGCTTCCGACCCGCTCCAGAGGTTGGCTTTGGCTGGGCAGCCCTGCCTCCGGACCGGACTCTGACCTGGATCTTGTAGGGACTCCAGAGACGTTTCCGCACGCTGGAAGCAATCCTAGAGCTTCCACACGGGAGGACAAGGCCCCCAGAGGTCTCCTCGGCCCTGAGCCTGCCGTCCGAGACTGCGGCACTCCCACCCAGGACTGCAGTCAGCGCCGGGGGCCCCTGGTCCGGGCTCACGCTTCTTTTTTTTTTGTTTTGGTCTCGGAGGCGGGACTGTCCGGAGCCCTGCCTCCCCGGTGACATCCTACAGACCATCCACCCAGCAGCTCAGCAGGGATGGGCCGTGGGACTCCGAGCTGCTCTCTCTCCGCCCCGCGGGGAAGCCCGTTGCGCGACCCGAGCAGCCCAGGCCGTGCTGGTGGTACCTGGGCCATGACATCATGGGACCAGATGTCTGCAGCCGACGTGAGGTGTGCTTTGCTCTCCACTTCCGACGGTCTCAGTAACGTGGGGCCAAACACAGTAGCCAGGTTGTGAAGGGACATTTTGTTGATAGGTTCCTTCTCAGCAACCCTGAAAGGGGTGGCGGGGGGAGAGAGGGAAAAAAAAGGCATTTCTCAGCAGCCACTCGGAGCTCCAGACGCTTGGCCTGAGCTATAAGAACTCCTGGGACGATTCCCAGAAGGTGGGTACTAGCCGCCCTCTCCTGAGGGTAGAGACCTCTTGGTCAGGAGAGACTAAGCCAGCGGACCACGTCTCCAGCTCTGTCCCAGGACGTTCCTGTATTGGATTCCTAGCTCCCGGGGCCACCCCTTGACGGTGAACTGCCAAAGCCAGAAGGACCTGCTCCAACTCCTTCCCCTCGAGGAGGATGATGTTCCTGACTCGAGAACCTTCTCTGTCCCGCTCATCACAGCCCCGTAAGACCAAGACTCGAAGTACAGAGGTGGGACGTGACTTGCCCGAGGTCACACGGCTAGCCAGTGGCAGAGCTGGGGTCTGACCCCACGCTGTCTGCCTCCAGAGCCTGTGCTCTACCCAGGGTCAGCCGAGCTGCCGTGAGTGGCCTCGGGGGGTGGGGGTCCCAGAGGAGGGGGCCGCGGCTCCAGCAGCAGTCACGAACTAGACCCCGGGCTCTGCTGAGGCAAGACAGCTCTGATTGCAGATGGAGCCCGGGGGCTGTTCTCCTGTGCCTTTCCAGAAGGGTCTTCCTCGCGAGACCCCAGAGTTGCCTCCCTTTGGATCTTTCTCTGCTTTTCTTGCGCAACAGGCCCCATGCTCAGTAGATATTTCCCTGGAGTGACAGTGGGGGCTGCCATCTGGCTGGCATCCAGGCAGACCCAGTACCACCCAACACTATCACAGAGGCCCTGGGCCTCCATTAGGCCCAGGAATGTTTCTGGGGCTGAGACCACTCACCCCGAGCAGTGCCCCCCACTCCGACTGCTTTGGAAACGGGCAAACACTTGCATGCCAGGAGGTAGCTGTGCAGCCAGCCCAGCCCCCCTACACACACACACAGCCAGCTCAGCCCCCCTACACACACACACACACACACACCACCCCCCCACCCCCAGCCGGGGGCCCAGATGTGGGAACAGAGAGTGCCCGGTTCCCAGGTTGGAAAACCTAATGAACTCGCCCTTCCCAATCCTCCTCTGTGCATCCTCCCCACAGCGCTCGCCAAACTATGGGAACTGGTTGTGGCTCCAGTTCCAGCCAAACCAGAGGGAAAATGTCTCATGATGGGTGAAATAGGACCGCGGCCGCAGGCATTGCCAGGTCTCCACTGGCCCTCGAGAGCTGGCCTGGCTGAGCCACAGCCCGCAGCATGGGCCCGAGGCCTGGAACTGAGCTCAGGGAGGGGCAGGCCCCAGCTCAGGGGGCTCCCTGGTCCCAGGTGGCAAGTGGATTGAAGGGACACCAGG